GGAGAAATTCACGTTTTTTGTTCGTGAAAAACCATGGGAACATGGAAAACACATGGGAATTTGACATGGAAATTCAATGAAACTGATGATGCGACACATTGTGGGTTTAAGGGGATGGAATCGTTGAGATGTTTTATCAGCAAAAATAGACATGCTACTAAGAAAACATGCACTTTTCAATTTGCGCAAGCAAAGACAGTGATTTTGCCAGCAGCTATGGTGATGTTGTTTTCAGTGTTATAGACATTCCAGAGTGTCTGCAAGTGTTTGCTACAAAGAACCGGCAAACCTGTGGCGGGGCTTTCAAAACTCGCTGTATCTTGCTGTTTGGTTTCCACATCAACCACAACACGGACAGAAAGTGCAAGGAACACGCAGATTGAAGTAGAAATGCCCCGGATTTAAGAGTGACGGAAACAAGAATAAAGCGGTCTGCGGTCACGAGCTCAGGTTGAAGAATTGCGCCAACGAGCATACGGTGTTCCGTGGAATGGAGTCGTTTGGGGGCACGCTCCGTGACACATCTTATGTCGAGACTTCCTACATGTCGTGGAGCGTCGGTGCTCCGTGCCGAAGGAACATTTTAATGATGGCTCCAAAAGGAAAGCAGCGATGCAGCATGCTGGACATATCGGCATATTCCGTGCTCCTTGGCTTGATTTGCTGTCTCGGTCATGGTCTGGTTTGAGCTTTTGCATGTGGGTGTTGCCTGGGCTGGTCAGATGTTCTGTTGGGACCCTTCTTCTCTGAGTCCTAGGGCCAAAACAACAGCCAAGGATGCCCGCAGAGCGCGAATGTTTGGTCGTGCCGCGCTGAAAACACAATGGAGTTTATCCTGAGTGTCATTGCATTGGTTTGCAGGAAAAGTTTCACCGGAAACCCCGTGTATTTATGTATATATTTCATGGTCAAAACCATGGTTTCCGGTTAAGCTTTTCCAACCAATCTCATGAGATTGTGATGTCAAACATGTTTTCACGACATCGGACCAGGCCAACACCGATGAATCCACGATATCGACATGCCGAAACGAGTCAGACGTAGATGTTGACATGTTGACAGAAATGTTGGCATCAAGAAATACTTGCTGGTTGGTGGTTTGGAACATTTCTGATGTTTCCATATATTGGGAATTTCATAATCCCAACTGACTCATATTTTTCAGAGGGGTAGGTATACCACCAACCAGTGAAGCCTGTTGAAGTGATGGCAAACGTGTCACCTTTGAATGGTCTATGATCCAAATATGGGAGATGGAAGCAAATTGGGCGTAGACGAACAAAAATGGGAGATTGAAACGATAGAACAAAACCCGCATGACTGACATGATACATTGGTTCGATATAAAAACATATAAAAACAATCTCCAACAAAACCATGTTCAAAGGACAGAAGAGCGTTCACACCGTTCTTAGTTTTTTTTTGGGAAATTACGCGATATGGAAAATTGACAGACAAGGAAGGGGAGAGCCAACAAGAAAAAAGTGATATCCGAAGTTCGAAGCATGTCCCAAAAAAACATGGCCCAAAAAGATGGGGAATTCATCATCTATGGCAACCTCAGGACTAACCAAGCCCCTTACAGAACTGTAAGCTGTATGTGTCGTATTGTGGCAAAGCATCAATATACCCTCCGGTAGTCAAACATGGCCAAGCGAAATCCCCCATTTATTTCAATATGATTTGCTCAATAAAAGGCCCATTTGGTTCGGGGATTTTCCAGGTAGCTATGTTTGATTACTACTAGTATATGGTAAATCCATTAATATCCTAACTGTCCTATGACATTATTATTCACACTATATTATATAAACCAACATTACACATGATTAGACCATATTGAACCACCTATTGTTTTTGCTGAGATTTATCCTGATTGTTTTTTTTTTGTGACCAGTGATCTCCGGCTTCTCATGGGATATGTCCAACTAAAACTACCACTTTCTTATGAATCAAAGATATGTGAGTTACAAGATCATGATCGTCAACAAACATGTCCTTTAAATCTGATGTACCCCTACTGAACACACAGTTGTCCAGCAAAAATCGAGAACACACCTGAATATATTGCCATTTCAATGGAATCATGATGATAGACCATCGGACTTCAAGGGTTTAGTGCCGGAAAATGAGCTGCTGTTCGATAGTTAATGGGGTTATAAACCCAATTATTGCTGGTTGTTGGAATTGTTGGTGGCTCAGATATGTTTAGTTTCGCCTTTAAACTCTTATAGTGAAGACCGCCCATTTGCGCTAAGTTCCTTATATCATCTTATATCCAACCCCTAGTTCCAATGTTTGGGGACTAAATCCCCATGAAATCCCATGACAAAAGTCACCATTTCACGGATTATTTTGTCATTTGCGAAAAAAAAGCTGGGGGGGTTGGTGCGATTTTTAATGGTTTATTATTGGGCTCACCATACCATGAATGATCATAAACATCCCCATAATATCACCATTGTTCCATATTATTGGGTTATTTTTAATGGTAAACACCAGCATTTCATGAAACATGGATGACTTTTGACAGATATTCAATGATATCAACCACTTAGTACTCGTATCCATATGTTCGATCCGAACAGGATGAATGTCATTGAATATCCGTGAGAATGTCATGGTGACTACAGGAAGGGGCCCCCAGATAGCGTTCAGTTGGTTTATAAGTGGCGAAAAAACTATGGTTTATGGTAGATATAACGAACTAGTTAATGGGATTATAAGGGTTTATAAACCAACTTATAACTGTGGGGCCCCATCCTGTATGAATTTTCATCGTTAACCCAGCTATTGACATTGGGGGTACATGAAATAAAGCCACCAGCGTTTCGCTTGGGGATTCCCCATGACTTTTTCGGTAAAACCATTGGAAACCCAGCATGTTTTCCGGTGCATGTCGCCAGCATTTCGCCACGATTCAGGTGGCACACGTGCTCTGCGATGCTTTGCTGTCGATGGCCGAGGTGGTGGGTGACGTGAAGTGGGTGATATCCCCAAGAGATCCCCTAGGAATATTTGAATATTTCCATGATTCCCCATCTGAAGGAATATGAAAATAATCCCGTCATGGAATGTATCTCACCAAGAATCTGAAGTTGTGGGATTTTCAGGAATATCTATAGGGATAGCATGGGATTAAAAATATGTTGTTTGATGAACAAATTGATGTGTTTTCCCGGGATATATCACCATGATCTTATATGAAACATATGAAATGTCATATAACTGGAAAATCCCGGCACTAAATGGAGACATTTTTATGGGACAATTCACTGTAAATGTCATGATTTTCCAGCCATGGAGCTGATTAGCAGAGGGCAATCCTTCAGATATTGTCTTGTTGGTTGATGATCATTCTCATTTTTTGGTGGTACAATAGCGGTATAATGGGAATATGTATATATATATATATGTATAATTGTATACATGTGTATATTATATATATATACATACATAAACTTTATACCACGTATCACCACCAACTATTTGTTTCTTGTTTGATTTCTTGTGATTGCTGGGTGACACTTCAAAGAGGCAAAATGGGGATGATCACCGGCATCAGGATTTATGCAACAAGAGTTGGGGGAGGAATACGGAAAACACATGTATATATATATGATAATATTGATAAACATTCCTCCAGATATATACTAATACAACACACATATATACATATATATATATATATGGACTATGGAAAACACTATATATACATATGTATATGAATGATATCTGATTTGAGATTGGTAAATTTGTAGACATGACTTGACAAATGTGGCATTACAATGGAGAACGAATGGATGCGTGAACACACGTCAATTTAGACCTGGGGGCCCACTTTGTATGACAACGCTGGTGAACAGGTTTGGTGGCTAAACTGCTAAACCAGATGATTGTTGATGAATTGCTCTGCTGTCAAGCTCTACTTCAAGCAATGTTTAATACAATGTGGGGCCCCCGTTTACGATAGATAAGTTGGTGCAAATAACTCCAATAACTATGGTTTATGATACGCAAATAACACTAGTTAATGGGGTTTATCGAGCAACTTATAACTGGGGGGCCCATGTTTAATACCACATGATTGTTGGCCGGTTTTTCGTGGAGCCCCAGTGGAGCCAAGGATGCTTATAGGAGCCCAACTATCTACCCCTCTAGCGATGTTTGGGCGATGAATGGTTGTTGTGTGTCTCTAGCAACATAGTTTAGACATTTTCTGAATAGATTTAGCGTAGCAGTCGATATTGCCTCTCTTGGTGTGAACAACATGTGGCAGTTATAGTCTCAGAATTGATGGGAGAATTGACAGGAATCCTTTGTACTTCGGGGTAAGACCATGGTTTCATGTTTGTTTTTCCTTAAAATCAATCCATTATAGGGGATATGGATGTGTGATTTTCCTCAGCAAACCTGACACTGTCGGGACCCCAAAGCTCGAAAACCATCGAAAACCTTCGACGATTCAATGGCGAGAGTCCATGGGGAGTTTCATTGGATTGGTTTCAGGATTTGTTACAGGAAAACACTATATATATTTGATGCTACAAAAATTATGGTTTCCTTAAACCAATCCATTGAAAAAAAACATGCTGCCCTGTGAGTTTTTTGGGCCTTGGCTCAAAGTCAACGGTGCCGCACTAGGGGAGGTTGGGTTCCTGTTTGAGGTGCCTGAACTCTCGAAACCCACGCTCGCTTGGAGCCACTGGGTAACTGTATCCGACAAACTCCTGATATCTTGCCCAACAACCATAGGTTGATGAGTCCACGGGGTGAGAAACTCAATGGCTTCTACCCCTGTTGGTTCATCGGTGAATTGGTCCACAATTTATATCCAAAATATTTATCGGGATGATCATAAATGAAAATAGGATCTATTATGATATAAATCTTGGATCCTATTCATAAATGATATAAATATTGGGGATATCCTATTTATATCCAATAGGATCCACTTGGACGTTGCTTAAAAACATCGATTTCCGGTGCCGGCGACTGCCATGGCGGGCGCAGAGGCTGTCGCAGAAGCGCTGGCCGAAAGCGTGCCTGGAACGACGATGTTTCGTTGTTAGGTTGACAAGGTAGTGCCCCAGGGAGCTAAATGGCAAAGTTGGTGAACATGACTAAGTTAGTTTATACTTCCAATAACTATGGTTTATGATACTTATAGCTATAGTTAATGTTTTTTAAACCAAATCATAACTACGGGGCTCACATTGTAAGTGTTGAGTTTATGGTAGATGCAACATGATACTATAATTATCTATAACTATCCCAGTATCAATTATATGTGGTTTCCTCTTTTTTGCTAATCTAACTCCAATAACTAGGACTTGTGGTAGGTATATCTATAGTTAATGTGGGTTTTAAACCAACTTATAAGTAGGGGGCAGCACCTTGTATGAATGTCATTGTGATTCAACCGAGGAAAATGCGGGGATCTTGCCGGATTTGACCAACAAGCATGTGGATTTGATGGCATTGAACATACAAATCATAGAATCATATCGAAAAATCAAGATCGAAGCAACAAGTGTCTGGAGAATTATGATGTCCCCACAGGACATACTGGCTATGGCCCCCCCCAGTTATAAGTTGCTTCATAAACCCAATTAACTATGTTATAAGTATCATAAACCATAGTTATTGGAGTTATAAACCAACTTAGCTATCGTTTGGGGGCCCCACAGGACATAGGGACATAGGCACCAAGAATGATGAAACATGCATGGAGCTTTGCATGGGGGAAATCATCCCCAGCAGATTTCAGTCGAACGACCTTGAAATATGATTTGGGCACGGCTCAGAAACGGGGCTGCACCCCCCATAGCAAGATGTCGCTTGTGACCAATTGAAGTCCCTGGGACAAACGATGGGGGCTTCACTGTTGGTTGCACCCAGGCATCCACTCTGTCCCCGCAGCACCTGGTCGTACCCATATGGGTACTAGTCAAAATGCAAGGTGTGGATCGAGGCCCCGGGCCCACACACGATCCATACCCCCCGATCCATACCTTGATCCATACCGTTTCTCGTCGAAGAAAGATTGATGCTGGCCCTAATGCTGCTTTCTATCCTAATACTGCTTTTGGTCCTCGTACTGCTACTCCCGTTGCTACTACCGTTGCTGCCTCCGCTGCCTCCGCTGCCTCCGCTGCCTCCGCTGCCTCCGCTGCCTCCGCTGCCTCGCCGCCGCCGCTGCTGCCGCCACGGCTGCTGCTGCTGCTGCTGCTGCTGCCACTACTAGTCATCTTCCTCCCAGGAGCTGCTGCTACTGCTGTCGCTTCTGCTGCTGCTCCTGCTGTTCCTGCTCCCGCTACTGGTGCTGGTTCACTTCCTCCGTGTGCTTCTGGTAGTTGGAGAAATGCAACTAGCTGACTGGCTACTAGCAATATTGCAAGTGCACCTTGGAGGCTAGTAAGACCGGTTCTAGTTCCACTAGGTGCTTCTTGTACTTCTAGTGGCCCTATGATTGCAACTCCTTCTGTTGCTTCTCTGCCTGGCACGTGTAGAACTAGACTAGACTAGAAATACCCCACTCTCTTCCTTCACAGCCACAGCGGGAAAGCCGGCCCAGATAGCGTGTCCCGATCCATACCCCGATCCATACCCGTTCATACCCGAACCCAATATGAAAGCCCGATTCAATTACTACTTCTACTGCGCTGCTACTTTTACTTCTACTTCTACTTCTACTTTTACTACTACTACTACTACTCCTCCTCCTACTCCTGCTGCTGCTGCTATTCCTACTCCTACTCCTACTCCTACTCCTACTCCTACTCCTACTCCTACTCCTACTCCTCCAACTCCTACTCCTACTCCTACTACTCCTCCTACTACTCCTAGTCCTACTGGAGCTGCTGCTGCTACTACCATTAGACTACTATTATTATGGCTATTACTAGTACTACTGCTACTGCTATTTCTAGTGCTACTGCATCTTCTCCTTCTATTGCCACTACTGCTGCTGGTGCTAGTTTTTTAAAACTGCTCCCTCTACTAGCAGTGGTAACAGTTTTAGCAGCAACAGTAGCAGGAGGAGAGGTAATAGCAAGTAGGAGTATCAGCACAGTTTGTATGCTATGATGAGCCCTTACGAAAGGGTACGGATCAGATCGGATCAGGCACCTTACGTAAGCATTCCCGATCCATAGCACGGATCACCGCGGAGCGATCCATACCCGATGTTTGACTCGCACTCATATGCGAACCATGGTGCTGGTAGATTTACCTACATGACTGGGTGATGATTAGGGCTCAATGGTGCTGGAATATTTACCAACATTCTCAATAAACCCAAATGTTGGTAAATGTTCCAGCACCATGGTTCGCATATGGAGCATAGGCATAGACGTCTCAGGGCCCACTCTTTAGGCTCAACAGTCGTAGAGGATAGAAGGCGCCAGATTGGCAGCTTTGGCTATGAACTTTCAGTGTTTTGTTACCTGGATTGGCTTTTATCTTTCAGTGTTTTGCTGCCTGGATTTGAAGTGCAGTTCGCATTGGGTTCTGCTTAGGCACCATCAAGCGACTCGAGATCAAGCCACGGAGCATTTGGTGGTGGAGTTCGTCAGCCCGAACTTCAAGGGCGTTTGGAAGACCTTGGTCAGTGGTCAGTGAGGCGCGGAGGACAAAGAGGCTGTTGGCGAAAGATGGAGCGGTGGTGGTGCACTGTAACAGTGGCCACCACCCTGTTTTTCCAGGTGACGGCCGCACCCCTATGTGGCCTCAAGCAATGTAGCTACAAGGAGGCAGTGGCTTGGCAAGACAATCATGACTGCTCAGTTTTGGAACTTCGCTTGTTGTGATTGTCACTCTGTATTCACTGGCTGGGTTTGCTGGCAATGCTGGACGCTTTCAAGGCTGCGGGCCAGGGCACAAGCCTTTGCGAGCCGATTGGGAATGGCGAAATGATTTGCCTCGGGAAATGGATGGTTAGATATTGTTAGATATGATTAGATGTTTAAAATGTTCCTAGAATGGTGAAATACCTGAAGTCTTTCTTTTGGTGCAATCGAGCATGCTGGTAGATGCATCCATTGGGTACGGTTGCGGAAACCTTGTTGGCCCCCCTGATGTTGGCTCCATGATGTTTTTAGCCAAATCATCTGTACATCAACTGGAATCCTGTGTAAACGGATCCAAAAATCTGATAGGCTTCAAATCCATGTATATCCCACTATCATTACCATAACATGGGGCCGGTTTGAAATACCGGGTAAACCTTTCCAGACCGATGTGGAACACCGATGGCTTCCCAACATGATCTACTTTCGTGGTGGCTTAGAACCACCACAGGTAGCCCATGGTAGCCCTGGGTAGTTTGGGATGTGGTTTCCAATGCGTCAATTGCCAATGTTTATGGTTCACTTTGAGCTAGTGACCATTCCTGGTTGGTAGTTTCAAACATGAATTTTATGTTCAATAATATAGGGAATAATCCTTCCCATTGACTCATATTTTTCAAGATGGTTAAAGCCACCAACCAGATTCTTGTTGTCACTGTGCAATTTTCGGACAACAAAAAAAACACATCACTGTTCGATTTTGCTGGAGGTTTGCAATTGTACAAAACTCAAAAGTGGCGCACATATCCGTAAAAGTTGCGTAAATACCGGCTAGAATCTTACTCCTAAAATAAATAGTACACTTTGCAGTGACACCAAAAAAATATGCACAGTGACACAGTGACCAAAAAAAATGTACACTGCGCTTTCCAGTTTTTTTTTGGGCGGGGGGGATATATCCCATAAAATGGTTATAGTGTTAGATACCCGTGGTCATAAACCCATGGATTTTTTCCCAAGGTATGTCTGGAAAGAGGGAAAAAAGCCTCAATTAGTAGATGTTTTCAAACTGGCGGGCCCCCGTTTACGTGATGTTTGTTGGTGTATAAACCCCATTATATAAGTATAGTTACAGCAATATATCATAAACATATAAACCATAGTTATTGGAAGTTATTGAAGTTATGTTCACCAACTTAGCTATAAAACGGGGGCCCCACATTGTAGGGAACATGATGATTTCCCATTGGGTTGAGGGTTGATTTTCCGATAAACCCAGATGAACCATTAAAAATACCCGGGTTAGTTGATTGCTATAGGGGATAAAAAAGCTACCTGGTTTACTGGGGGTGATGATAAGCCATAGTAGGGAAACCGTTTTCAACCAACTAGTACTGATTCGTGGTTTCAAACATGAATTTTATTTTCCATTTCATATATGGGATAATCCTTCCCATTGGCGAAATCATATTTTTCAAGATGCTTATTGTACCACCAACCAGTACAGTTATGGCCATTTACCAGTTATAACTGGTTATTTCTATGTGATTATACATTCTATAAATGGGGTTTTCTTAGTACTTATAACTAATAAATGGCCAAAACTGTAGTAGTATGAGATGGGAAATCGGGTTATTATCCATCATAATTATGGAACATCACCATTTTCAATGGGTTTATACTACCAGTTATATGGGGTTATACGACCCAACCAGGTTTTGGGATGAATTTTGGGATGAACTTCTGGGTTTCACCTTAGATGTGTTATTTTCAATGGTTCAAATGACCGAAATGACAGACCTCCCAAGGTGCAGCAGATCGTTGCCTTATCCCCTGACCGTGTGGCGGAGGATGGACCAGAGGTGCGGGGCGCAGTCCACGTGGGGCCCCCGTAAACACGCTATGTGAATGTTGGTTTATAAACCCCACAGTTATGGCCATTTATTAGTTATAAGTACTAAGAAAACCCCATTTGTAGAATGTATAATCCCATAGAAATAACCAGTAGTTATAACTGGTAAATGGCCATAACTGCATGAAAAATCTATAGCTATAAGATGTTATAAGTAGAATTTAACCAAAGTTATTGGACATATTTGCACCAACTTAGCTATCGAACGGGGGCCCCACACTGTATAGAAAAAAGACGAAAGACCAGTGATGTTTAGGTAATCCATTGTGATTTGTTGGTGGTTAATGGTAATTAATAATGATCACTAGTGATCAATGATTATTATTTGAATTTATTTGGTGGTTTTATGCGGTGATCATTCCATACATGGGGTAACTTAATGATTTATGACCGGTATTCCGGGCCTTAACTGTAGAGTCTGTTGCTACAAATGGAAAATAACCATCACCAGCAAAGGAATTGTGAACTACCAAAGATTGCCCATGGTGAGGAGGAGTTCATCAACAAGAAAAACACGATTCTACAAGGGAACGTGTGGCTTATACCAGCAAAAGCATGTTTTTTGTTGAATCATCAGCAAAGGGTAATTTTCAGGAGCAAGCACCTGGATCTTACAATCAAATAAGTCACCATTTTGCAAGAAATCACCATTAGAAATCACCGGATTTCACCATGAGGATGTCACCATCGGCAGCGTTTTTGTCGCAGTGGGACCACAACCACCCAATTCAGCATGTTGGTTTGAATTGCAGAGAAGTGGTGCCCTACGGTAAACTAACATAGCTATCAAAATCATCATTTTTGAATGGGGGAATCAACTATAAATGGCAATTTTCAATAGCTATCTTAGCATGTTCGTTCGGTACGGTTGGGCGTTCGGAACGCGCGTTTTAAAAACTCGCGTTCCAGAACGCGCGTTCTGAGTGAATCATTTTTTCCAATGATATAAAGTTAACTTATTTCCTGTGCCTGGACACTGAAACCTTTTTCCCCCCAAATAAAAAGGGGGACTCTTATGGGACAGCCGAAGGGCAAGGCAAAGGTCAAAGCGGCAGCAAAGCAGAAGGCGAAGGCGAGCGCACTGCTGGCCAGAAGACTCTCGCCGCAAGGCCCAAACAACCCCAACGCGCCCAGGCAGCGGCAAGCCAGCCCAGGACTTGAGCCGCAGCGCCAAGCAGGCCGTGCGCAGTCATCGGCAGCCATGCTGCTCCGCCGTGGCGGCTTCCAGGAGGATATGGTGGTGCTTCTGGTGATCTTCTGGCTTCGAGACCGCGAGAAGAAGGAGCAGAAAGTTGTTCTTCCCAACTCCGGATCCTTTTTGGGGTGAAGCAAAAAAGGTTCTGGCCTCACCAGGCTTGTGGGGCAAGTTAGCTTTCCTTCCCGGATCCCTTTTTTCTCTGAAAGGAAAAGATTCTGACCTCTCACAAATTTTATCGTAGTGCTAATAACAGAGGTCTAAGAAGACTTTGAAACATTGTTGAAAAATTCTGTGTGACACTGCGGATCCTTTTTGCAAGGAGCAAAAAAAGGATTGGGAAGCTTCTGGGATCCATAAAACCACTAAACCCCCCCCTGCGTTCGGAACGCGCGTTCCAGAACGTACGTTTTGCGTTCTGCGTTTTGGTCGTGCTAAGATAGCTATGTTAAATTACCAGATGATAGCTTCAATGAATGAGTGTGCCTGGAAACTGGCTAGTACCCGTGCGGAGATTACAGTTCTGCATTGTGGCGGGAAGGAAAGTTCCTAGAGGCTGTACGGTGGACTGAACAGATAGTTTGCTGAATCTAAGAATTCCGCCCCCAACATGGTCGTTGTTTAATAGATGTCATGCTCGAAAACCCCTAAAACTACGAGAGAAACGTTCTTCGTGGACGAAAAAACAAGAGAAAGTGTCAAATAGTGGTTTCCATTTATTATCAACAGCAATCCTAAATTCAAGATAAATCCACTAACATACCATTATTATTCCATTATTATAAATGAATATCCCATTAATATTCCACGAGTTACATGTATATCCCATGATATGATGGACCAAGTCCCAATCCATTCAAATCCTATGATTCTCCCATTCTTATCCCTGAGGGTAAAAAAACATGAGCAGTTTAGTACATACCCTATGGTAATCTAACATAGCTATTGAACATTGTTGATAACCAGAGTGTCATTGTTAATATGGGATTTACCCTCGGGTAAATTAATATAGACCCTGAAAATCACCAATTTTTAATGGAAACTAGTCTTCCAACCCCTATCTGCCAGGGTCTATGTTAATTTACTGGAGGGTACCAACCAAAATGGGACAAAACCATATTAAACCCTATTAAACCCTATAAGATCCCACTATGCCCTCATTATTCTCCCATGAATATCACATCAAGAATGCCATTAAATCCTATGAAACATAGTGATATGAGTGGGATATTCAACCATTAAGTGGATATTAAGTGGGATATTACCCTCGTGGTAATTTAACATAGCTATTGAAATGGCCCATTTATTGTTGATTGTCCTATTGAAGATGGTGATTTTCCATAGCTATGTTAGTTTACCAGAGGGTATTCCAATATATAGCCTTTTATTTCTGCTTAGTGAATTATCATGTTTTACCATAGATTTACCATAGATTTACCATAGATTATCATATTTTTCCAGAGGGTAACTGACACTGGGATATCAATTCCCTATCTCAGTGTCACATGCTTTGGAAAATCACCATGCTATTAATGGGTAAGTCAACTATTTCTATGGGCCATTTTCAATAGCTACGTTAGAGTTAAATCCCTACATAAATGGTTTGCTTATTGAAATGGCTATTGAAACTATGTTATATCACACTGTTAAATCCCTAAATAAGTGAAGTATCATAATTTACCATAGATTTGCCATAACTGGTAAATGGCCATAACTGCATGAAAAATCTATAGCTATAAGATGTTATAAGTGGAATTTAACCAAAGTTATTGGACATATTTGCACCAACTTAGCTATCGAACGGGGGCCCCACACTGTATAGAAAAAAGACGAAAGACCAGTGATGTTTAGGGTGATCCATTGTGATTTGTTGGTGGTTAATGGTAATTAATAATGATCACTAGTGATCAATGATTATTATTTGGATTTATTTGGTGGTTTTTATGCGGTGATCATTCCATACATGGGGTAACTTAATGATTTATGACCGGTATTCCGGGCCTTAACTGTAGAGTCTGTTGCTACAAATGGAAAATAACCATCACCAGCAAAGGAATTGTGAACTACCAAAGATTGCCCATGGTGAGGAGGAGTTCATCAACAAGAAAAACACGATTCTACAAGGGAACGTGTGGCTTATACCAGCAAAAGCATGTTTTTTGTTGAATCATCAGCAAAGGGTAATTTTCAGGAGCAAGCACCTGGATCTTACAATCAAATAAGTCACCATTTTATCACCATTTTGCAAGAAATCACCATTAGAAATCACCAGATTTCACCATGAGGATGTCACCATCGGCAGCGTTTTTGTCGCAGTGGGACCACAACCACCCAATTCAGCATGTTGGTTTGAATTGCAGCGAAGTGGTGCCCTACGGTAAACTAACATAGCTATCAAAATCATCATTTTTAATGGGGGAATCAACTATAAATGGCAATTTTCAATAGCTATCTTAGCATGTTCGTTCGGTACGGTTGGGCGTTCGGAACGCGCGTTTTAAAAACTCGCGTTCCAGAACGCGCGTTCTGAGTGAATCATTTTTTCCAATGATATAAAGTTAACTTATTTCCTGTGCCTGGACACTGAAACCTTTTTCCCCCCAAATAAAAAGGGAGACTCTTATGGGACAGCCGAAGGGCAAGGCAAAGGTCAAAGCGGCAGCAAAGCAGAAGGCGAAGGCGAGCGCACTGCTGGCCAGAAGACTCTCGCCGCAAGGCCCAAACAACCCCAACGCGCCCAGGCAGCGGCAAGCCAGCCCAGGACTTGAGCCGCAGCGCCAAGCAGGCCGTGCGCAGTCGGTCGGCAGCCATGCTGCTCCGCCGTGGAGTGTGCCTGGAAACTGGCTAGTACCCGTGCGGAGATTACAGTTCTGCATTGTGGCGGGAAGGAAAGTTCCTAGAGTGGCTCTCGATTTTGGAGATTGTGGCTGTACGGTGGACTGAACAGATAGTTTGCTGTTGTGCATCATCAAACATGGGATAATCAAAGCTAACATTCGTATTGGCTATTTACCAACCAACTGGTTGGTGGTTTCAAACATTTTTTTTCCATATATCGGGAATTTCATCATCCCAACTGACGAACTCATATTTTTTCAGAGGGGTAGGTATACCACCAACCAGTAATGCAGTGTACTAAGCATTAATGATCTGGATGAAATGTCATGACCTTACTTTGACGTCACTGGAATGGTTAGCATTCAGGGATGGCCTTGATATTTTTAAATTGTTGAACAATTAGCCAGAACAATTGGGGAAAAGCAGTCTTACAGGAGGGTAAGCACAAAATCATTCCAATGAAAAGGACTGTTACCCGTTCGAAATCAGCAACTGGGCAACCATTCGGCTTGAAAAGTACACTTGTGTTCAACTGGTTGGGGTTGCCCCAATTTTGAACTCACACTTCGGACATGTAGCAAATGGGCAACATTTGACTGGCAACGTATCCCGATGTCAAGATGCTAGTGGCTATCAAGACATATGTTGCCCTAAAAGATGGACACCATATTTGGGTCCTCCATCATTTATTTGTACAATGTGGGGCCCCCGTTTACGTTATGTTTGTTGGCTTATAACCCCATCATAGTTATAAGAACCATAAAGCCTAGCGGTTGTAGTTATAAACCAACTTAGCTATCTTGGGGGCCCCACATTGAACGAAATTCCAAACATGTTGGAATTTATTGCCAGGTTTTATTGCCAGAGGGCACCCCCAGTTGTAAGAAAGACATGTTTCAATACAATCCACATCCCCAAGACGGGGTAATAGTTTGATATGCCAAACACAAATCTAAGAATGCCGCCCCCAACATGATCGTTGTTTAATAGATGTCATGCTCGAAAACCCCTAAAACTACGAGAGAAACGTTCTTCGTGGACGAAAAAAAACAAGAGAAAGTGTCAAATTGTGGTTTCCATTTATTATCAACAGCAATCGTAAATTCAAGATAAATCCACTAACATACCATTATTATTCCATTATTATAAATGAATATCCCATTAATATTCCACGAGTTACATGTATATCCCATGATATGATGGACCAAGTCCCAATCCATTCAAATCCTATGATTCTCCCATTCTCATCCCTGAGGGTAAAAAAACATGAGCAGTTTAGTACATACCCTATGGTAATCTAACATAGCTATTGAACATTGTTGATAACCAGAGTGTCATTGTTAATATGGGATTTACCCTCGGGTAAATTAATATAGACCCTGAAAATCACCAATTTTTAATGGAAACTAGTCTTCCAACCCCTATCTGCCAGGGTCTATGTTAATTTACTGGAGGGTACCAACCAAAATGGGACAAAACCATATTAAACCCTATTAAACCCTATAAGATCCCACTATGCCCTCATTATTCTCCCATGAATATCACATCAAGAATGCCATTAAATCCTATGAAACATAGTGATATGAGTGGGATATTCAACCATTAAGTGGATATTAAGTGGGATATTACCCTCGTGGTAATTTAACATAGCTATTGAAATGGCCCATTTATGGTTGATTGTCCTATTGAAGATGGTGATTTTCCATAGCTATGTTAGTTTACCAGAGGGTATTCCAATATAGAGCCTTTTATTTCTGCTTAGTGAATTATCATGTTTTACCATAGATTTACCATAGATTATCATATTTTTTCCAGAGGGTAACTGACACTGGGATATCAATTCCCTATCTCAGTGTCACATGCTTTGGAAAATCACCATGCTATTAATGGGTAAGTCAACTATTTCTATGGGCCATTTTCAATAGCTACGTTAGAGTTAAATCCCTACATAAATGGTTTGCTTATTGAAATGGCTATTGAAAACTATGTTATATCACACTGTTAAATCCCTAAATAAGTGAAGTATCATAATTTACCATAGATTTACCATAGATTATCAGAATTTACCACAGGGTAACTGACACTGGGATATCAATTCCCTATCTCAACCATCAAACGGGAAATTCACTGGGATATCAATTCCCATATATTCCCTATCTCAGTTCGACATGCTTTGGATCAACGGGCCATCAGCGGGCCAGGCCTTTGACCCCTTCCGCCGGGCCGTGACGCAGGCAGGGCCAGTGGATGATTCGTTCGCCATTTCATAGGGCCATAGGGCTTGAAAAAGACCAGCAATGGAATCAACATATGGGGGATATATATACCCTCTGGTAAACTAACATAGCTATGGAAAATCACCATCTTTAATAGGTAAACCAACTATAAATGGGCCATTTCAATAGCTATGTTAGTTTACCAGAGGGTAAGTGGATATAAGTGATAATTGATGATCATATGAAACATGGATATATTGGAATAGTTCAATGGATATAAGTTGATATAAGTGATAAATGATGCTTAGCGCATGATGAATTGCCACTAAAGCACCAGTTTTCAAGGTAAAAAAACAACTGTTCACGATTTTTTGTTGGTAAAATCCTGGTCATTGATGGTTGAGTGGCAATTGCTTACTGTTAAATTATGTCATCTCCTATGCTTCATTCTTGAACCACCATGTTTGAAGGGTTTTTTCAAGATTTTCCAGGGTGAAACCACAAGTTTTCCCCAAATGTTTGTTGGTGATCTATTCCCATGTTTCACCTGGCTGGTGGTTTGGAACATGTTTTATTTTTCCATATTTGGGAATGTCACCATCCCAACTGACGAACTCCATCATTTCTCAGAGGGGTAGGTATACCACCAGCCAGATTATTGTTAACCATCATTAACCATGTAATAACCATATATTAGCCATATGTTTAACCATCATTAACCATATAATAACAATAACCATATAATAACCTATGTTCATTGGATCTCTAGCAAAGTGTTTCCATGAATCCCCATGAATCCCCACCAGCTATGTTTGAGTACCGGAGGATTTTTGATGAGTACCCTCTGGTTATGACGAACATAGCCATGGTATAGATGGCCCATAGAAATAGATGGTTTACCTATTAAAAATTGTGATTTTCCATGGCTATGTTGAATAACCAGATGGTAACATAGACCCTGACTGACAACGACCAATTTATAGTGGATTAGTGGTTTCACTAATCTTTCAACCCCGATGACTGCGAGGGTGTATGTAAATTTACTGGAGGGTATACTTCAACTATTTTCAGGTTACTGAATTATTATAATTCAGCCAGATTAGTCCCTTCATCCCCCGAGAAAAAAGTTGGCTTAGACTCACCCCATGAAGTAGTTCGTTATTTACCCCATAAACCATAGAATTCACCAAGTGAACTCTGCATCAACTTTGCGCTTTTGCCAACGTGGGCCTCACCATGTATGGACTGTGATAGTCCATGATAATCCCCAATGACTATTGGTTACAGTAGTAGAATCCCCGAACCAATCATCAACCACAAAAAACTGTGTGTCGGTGCTAAATCCTGTTAATATAGAAAACATAAATAAGACATATTATCCCTATTATACCCCCGGAAAATGGCAATGATCATCAACCATCATTTATACCCGTCCTATCCACTGATAAAATGATGCTTGAAACCGGTGGGCTGATGAAGTGGTGGACTATGGTCCACAATGGTTTTACCAGTCTATATATATCATTGGTCATATGGAGTGGATATCATTGGACATATGGGGAAACAAACATCATATCCATTCATATTTCCCCATAATTGTCCAATATTTCCAGTGAAAAAATGGAATACTTAATCCCATAATTGTTTTGGCAGTGTATACATTTGTCAGTCTTTCCACGACTTTGATACTGAAGAGACACAGACTTGTTGATAAGTCCCATAATTGTCCCATAAATTACCAGTTGATATCTACTCCGATTCAGTTGGTGGAATTATGATGGGGATATGACCAGTTGATGGTCAATGCAAACTGGCAAGAAGATCGGGGCATGGCCTGACCCAAAAGATCAACGGCCTCACTCTTCCCAGGGTGATCATAACATTTGCCTCCACGACCAGATTGGACATCAAGGGATGTGATCCTTTGGCTCTACCGGTGGCTGCTCTTCAATCCAACAACTTCTGGCTTCGGAAGCTTGCTCATGTGCGTGAACTGTATCTCATTCCGACTGGTGACACTGCCTTGGTGGTGTTTGCAATGGAATTACTTTCGCAGTTGCGCAACAGAGACATCGACCTGGACAGGGTCTCCCAAATTCGGGCTCGGCAGGATGGGAAACACCTGGACAAATATGCCGCTCAGATGGTTGCGGAACACATCCAAGGCTGGATTCCTATGAGCCAATAATAAAAGACAATGGTATTCCATACTTCAGCGTGGATGGTGATACCACCATCATATCCCCATAAAAGTACAATGTGGGGCCCCCAAACGTTATGTTTGTTGGTTTACAACCCCATCTAACTATAGTTATAACAACCATAAACCATAGTTATTGTAGTTATTTGCACCAACTTAGCTATCTTGGGGGCCCCACATTGTACAATAAATGTTGAGTTTATGGTAGATACAACTATAATTATCTATCACTGTCCCAGTATTAATTATATGCGGTTTCCTACTATTGCCCAATCTAACTCCAATAATTAGGACTTGATCAAAATATCATGTTCAACTCCAATAGTTAGGTAATTTGGACGAGGCAATTGGTCAAAGAAATTAGCTAATCAAGATAATTAGGTAGTAACTCAACATATTTTATTTTCATAATATATGGGATATATATATATGGGATAACCCTTCCCATTCACTTTCATATTTTTCAGAGGGGTAGGTATACCACCAACCAGATAATCAAACCATATAAATAACTACAGCTATATCCCCATGTTTGTCATCGTTAATGCTGGAAGAGGCTTCGCGTGGCCGTGATGCGCCACCCTCGCAGCTCCTGGGCCCGGTGGAATCCAAGGACGACGGTGGTCTCAAGTCCGGCCGCGGGTTTTTGGTTGGCCGGTGAAAATGGGTGAAAACACGCATCAAACGTGGTGAAAAATGGTGGTTCCATATCATTTCATCATGGAAAATGGTGAAACTTGGTGGTTTCACCATGAAAAATTGGGATTTAAGCCATGAATTAAGGAAATGACGCCAAAAAATCCAGATACTGGGTTTCTTAGATGCCATTATGATCCATTATGGGGTTAGAGGTTTTAGTGTAAATTGATCGGATGCTAAGATTAGTTTTTATCCATATTTGGTGATTGACCCCAGCGGCTATCATCCCTTATAACTGGACATTGCCCTTGCCCTGCTGAATTCTTGTGGCCAACCGCCAGGTACCGTGCCACATGAGATTGACAAATGATTAGGTCCCCAAGTTTTCAACAACCATGCATCTATCCAACCAACCAACCAACCAGCCAACCAAGCAACCAAGCAAGCAACCAAACAACTAATATCAAACATATATATATATATACAGATCATACTACGTCCTTAGGCAAAGCATTGGCAAACCCATTTACCATGGCATACCCAATTTTCAACACCGCGAACGGCACCTTTTTCGGAACGAGAGGAGATGGTCTTTAAATTCCTGGTGGCTCTCCATGGGTCCAAGAACCTTGGTTCGTCTGGCAGGACTGGGGTTTTAAGCAACAAAAAACGTGGGATTTAACCAACAGAAATGGTGAAAATGTGGGATTTACCCAACAGAAATGGTGAACATGTGGGATTTAACGAACAGAAATGGTGATATTTTTAGACAATCATTGTTTTTTTTTAACCACAGAAATCGGTGATTTGAGTGACCAAAAATGTGGATTCAGCTAAGTTGGCATACAAACCTCAAATAACTGGTGGGTATTAAACTAGTTAATAGTTGTTAAAGATATATCAATGGTATTCAATGGTTAATGGGGGTTTTAAACCAACAAGCAGAACTGAGCACCATGTTGTAGGACCATTGGGGCAAATTTTAGCGACGTCACGTGGCTCGCCCAAAGTGTGATTTGTTCCAGGTGGGTTAACTATCAGATGTGAGGCCCCCGTTCGATAGCTAAGTTAGTGAATATAACTCCAATAACTATGGTTTATGGTATTTATAACTATAGTTACTGGGGTTTATAAACCAACTTATAACTGGGGGGGGGCCATTGTATCAAATGTTGGTTTTAAGAAGCACACATCTGAGGGTTTCCATAAATGAGGAAATCCCCCAATAGCTGGATGTTTTTTTTAGGGAAAAAACATCTAACATAGATGATTTGGGGGTACCCCTATTTCAGGAAACCCCCATATGAGGATAAAGTTGATAAATGATGGTTGATGAATGTTCCGGGGCTCTACAGTCAGCAGCCCCCTTGACCAAGCATCAACGGGATTGCCCAACACTTTTGATGCACTTTGTTTCATTCCACTTTTGTTGTTTGCGCAGGTCCATACGCCATACGTATCGTTTCGGAAAAACGGCGTGTTTTCCAACTCTTTGGAGAACAGCACCCACTTCCAATCCATTTGATGGACCTACTTGTCCTGAAGTACCTTCTGGTAATTTAGCATAGCTATTGAAAATGATCATTTATAGTTGATTTACCTATTGTAAATGGTGATTTTCCATAGCTACGTTAGTTTACCAGAGGGTAGATGGACATAAAAATCTTGACCATGCCCGGTATGAATTGGATTTTAGTATCCAGGCCGCAGGCCTGGTGCGATAGAATTTCAACCAGGAAAGGCACATATGTGATGCGGTTTATTTTGTGAAACCACATTGTTTGCCAGATCTTGTCACAATCCACCCACATCCAAGTCTGAGTTGAATACCCTACATATTTCGGGACATATCTCAGTTTTTTTTGTGAATTCTATAGACGGTGTTCCCATTATATGTTCATTATCTCATTCATGTAAGAATTTCAAGTGCCATTGGTAGGATTACCAAAGGGTAGCACTTGGTTTTAGCCCCACCAGACCTTGTTTCGGGAGGCTCTCCCAGTCATGATGTCATGGGGGGTTTACCTTGACTTTGCAAGTTTTTCGATCCCGGAAAAAACATCAGCAGATGGTTGACCAAGCATTTTTCACCAAGGATCAATACCAAGACCTTTTTTTGGTAAAGGCGGATGAACGGAAGGGGCGGATCTATACCTGAAATCCATCCCCATCACGATCACTAGTAAGTCACTAGTATCAATAGTCATTATCTGTTGATTCACCTACCCTCTGGTTATTTAACATAGCTATGGAAAATTGCCCATTTACAGATTATTTTCCCAGCTACAAACCTCCATTTATAATGGATTTTCCATAGCTATGTTGAATAACCAGATGGGAATTGTTGACCATGATTACACTCTGGTAAACTTTTACATAGCTATGGAAAATCGTCATTTTGAATGGGTAAATCAACTATTTCTATGGCCATGTTCAATAGCTATGTTAGTCATTACCAGAGGGTAAGATGATTAACCATGCCTCATTGAGTCAACTTCAATTTCATTGATTAACTACGAGTCAATTCCGTCGATTATCTAGCCATGCAGTAATTAAATGGTTCACAAGATGGTTTTCATCTCTTTTTGTGGTGATAGTCAATCACACTACAGGCACATAACCATTAACTCTCTACCTATTCATTATTGATATGATTATACCCATTAAATCCCATAGTGAATCCCAAAAAGCTCATTGATGTTTTTCATTCATTATACCCATATAATCCCATATATATATATTATAAGATAAAACCGCATAACTTCATTAACATGGGTTTGATCACCACTTCATTACTCCAATGTGACTATCGAGTCATTATCCCACTCAATACCATTGATTATCACTGGCTAATATCTAGAAACAATATTTAACCATTTATTTATAATCAATTCCAATGTCAATGGTCTGTTAGATAAACTCAAACAGTTATTATTCCCATTGAATCCCATCAAGTCCCATTATATCCCAGTTATGAAACCCATTGAATATCATTGCCCTCCAGTAACTTAACAAAGACCCTGCCAGATAAGGCTTGGAAGATAGTAAAAATTCTGGTTTTCCATGAATCATTTCCAGGGTCCAACTGTCAATTTACCAGAAAAACTCAAACGGTTACTGGTTGGTGGTTTGGAACATGTTTTATTTTTCCATATATTGGGAATTTCATCATCCCAACTGACTAGTATTTTTCAGAGGGGTTGAAACCACCAACCAGGTTAATATTCCCATTAAATCCCATGAAGTCCCATTAAATCCCATTAAGTCCCAGTTATTCAACCCATTCAACATCCTTAAATCCCATGTTTTTCACCGAGGAAAATGTACCGAAGACAAGTGGTGGCCGTGATGGCAGTCCTGATGCACGCCGCTCGCAAACAATGGTGCTTTCAGCGCGAGAAATGGGTGAAAGCATGGTGGTTTAACATGGTTGAACCATAAAACAAGGCCATTACCAATGAAATTTGGTACAACATGATGAACATGATCAACATGGTGAACATGATGAATAATGGTCCGAATGGTGGTTTAACAATATGACGATATGAGGAAACTTGCTCATGATAAGCCTGAAAAATGGTGATTGACCCATATTGACCCATCCAAAATGGGGATCCAACCGAATGAAACCATATTTTTTTAGCCAACCTCAGCACATAGCGAATATTCATCAACGCATGGAGGGTTACACCAGGAAAGATGCTTATAGGAATTAGATGTGGTTTACTGAAGAAATAATCTGGTTCAAGCAGTAGATGGCGAACTAATCCAAGGTGCTAATCCACGGAAAAATTCATCGCATGGTGTCCACATGGTGCCCCTTCGCATGTTAAGAAGAACATCAAACAGAAAGCCAAAATCGGGGATGAGATGATGAGGTTGGTTGCTTGTACAAGGGTAACCCAGATGCTCCATGGTGCTGGAATATTTGCCTACATTTGGATTACATTTGGGCCATTTTGGGGGTAAATGTAGGTAAATATTCCAGCACCATGGTTCGCATCTGGGTAAGTCATGTGATGTTGAAACCTGCTTGCCATACAGTTATGGCCATTTACCAGTTATAACCAGTTATAGCCCCATTTATAGAATGTATAATCCCATAGAAATAACCAGTTATAACTAATAGCCATGGCCATAGGCCCATAGGGCACCAAATTGCCTCACTTTTGAAAGGCGTTCGATACACATTGCTGGTCATCCCAATGACGGCTGTGTTGGAAGCAAGCGTGGCGTTCTAAAGCGACTCCCCTAAAGTGGAAGAACCGTTTCTAGTGAACTGCCATTTGGTGATGGGTCAAAATTAAAGACCTGGGGACCACAGATCTTAGTCTATAGTTAGTAATAACCATCTAGTATTGGGGTACCTAATTTTGACTCATACCCATTTTTTTGTTATCACAGAAAAATGCCAATTCACTGAATGCCAAGAAAATTCTTCGTAAAGAATCTAGACTCAAGTACAGGATGGTTTATAAGTGGCTTAACAATGGTTTATAGTAAATATAATATAACTATAGTTAATGGGGATTATAAGGGTTTATAAACCAACAAACATAACTGTGGGGCCCCATCCTGTAACTTGTCGATCATGTAAACCCCTTCCGGACAGTTGGTGAAACCCTAAACTTAAACCCTAAAAAAATTGGAATCCGGGCCATGCATCAGGTTTCAGTACCCACTTTGGTCATGTCCATGACTGTAGCTTTACATTTGGTGAGGCCCCCCAGATATATATATATATAGCTTTGTAAGTTGGTTTATAAAGCCCATGAATAGTATAGTTATATGCCCAATAAACCCAAAACATGTATAATCATAGCACTGCAATAGTACTATATATATGTATATATTTATATTTAGCCATATATACCCCTAATCCATAGAATTCACCAAGACAAATGTGCGTCAAGTGGTCCAAAATGGTCTTTTTTCTGGCTAGTTTCAGGTTAGTGAATTAGTACAATGCAGCCAGATCTCAGGTTTGCTTGGTTGTTATCTCCACGATTGCTGGGCCTACTCATCAATGTAACGGCCTTTCTTGACAAACTCTAATATCACTGGATTGGTTTAAGGGAAAGTCTTAACCGGAAACCATCGATTTTCCCATGAAATATGTTTTTTCCCATGGTTTTCCTGCATGTTTTCCCTGAAAAACCCATCCGGGACCTGTTTTTCATCATAGGACCTGTGTTTTTGAAGCGTTTCCGAGCTGAGGAGAAACTTTGGCTCAAAAGCCTGCTGCAAATTGAAGGCAGGGGACGCTGGCGCTTATGGACCTTTTCAGACTTTGGGGTTCAGAAAGCAGCGGGAGTTTGATGATATAAATAATACTGTATATATCTACAACTAGGAATAAAAAATATTAGAAAATTGTATATTAGTACAACTAGGGATATATAGATACAGATATATATTTATATATAACATATCTATCTATCTATCTATCTATCGATCTATCTATCTATCTATCTATCTATCTATCGATCTATCTATCTATCTATCTATCTATCTATCTATCTATCTATCTATCTATCTAACACTGATATAATGATGAAGATGTAAGCCGAAAATGGTGGATTCGTTGGGATAGAAATGCTGAATCCGAGTGGATGCACCTGACCAGCCAAGGGAATAAGACCTGTGCTGGTTGGTTTAGCTTTGCTTTTGACAAATAGCTGGTTGGTGGTTTTGAACATGAATGAATTATTTTTAAAATTTTCATACATTGGGAATAATAACCTCAACTGACGAACTCCATCATTTTTCACAGGGGTAGGTATACCACCAACCAGGTTAATATTCCCCTTAAATCCCATGAAGTCCCATGAAGTCCTATGAAGTCCCATTAAATCCCATTATGTCCCATTAAATCCCATTAAGTCCCAGTTATTCAACCCGGCAACAATGCAGAATTTCCCCAAACCACGATTCGATGAAGTGCGTGCGCCCAGTTCGTCGTAGAAGTCACTAGTGATTCAACCTATAGATGTCCTTTTACCAATCCGTTGATCAATAGAGGCCAATTTTATCGGTTCATTGAATCATAAGTTGGTTTATAACTTCAATAACTATGGTTTATGGTACTCATAACTATAGTTACTGGGGCTTATAAACCAACTTATAACTGGGGGGCCTCACATTGTAGGTAAATCATGGTAAATCATAACTGGAATTTACCATATCATCATGAGTTACCCTCTGGTTATGTCAAAATAGCTATTGAACATGGCCATAGAAATAGTTGATTTACCCACTAAAAGCATGGTGATATTCAACAGCTATGTAAACGTTTACCAGAGGGTACCTAATATTTATCATGATTTACCATATAATAACCATAGGGAATTGAGCAATGGCTGCGATCTATCCCTTTTTTGATGATGAGAAACCCGGTTTTATACATCTTGGGGATGAGCATCCATGGAAAATCCTATGAAGCAACTGTTATAGATATATATATATATATATATATCTGTGTAAATTATAACGACCTCACTGGAAATCATGGTTAATAAGGGAAATCATCCCCAAATGGCCCAAGAATTCAGGCTAGTGAAATATTGTAATTTATCTTATCCATATATATATATATATGTTCTGATGATTTACCAGAGTAAAAATGTAGATCATATATTTTAAAAAACAGATGTTTACCTTTAAAACCAAGCCATTGATCCATTGGAATCCTACAAAATCTAGATGAGAATAGAATCTACCTGGTGGTGCACCAGTTCGGAATCGCTAACTTGGTGAACATAACTCCAAGAAGTAGGACTTATGGTAGATATATCTATACTTAATGGGTTGATAAACCAACTTATAACGGCACCACATTGTAATATATATATATATATACATAATATATATATATACATAATATATATATATACATAATATATATATATGGTATATATATATGGTATATATATATATGGTACAGGCCTGCAACCCCCCCCTCCCCCCCCGCGATGGGGATGGTTCCTAGGATCGGGTGTACTACCTCCCTGGAATCCAACTATCATGCAAGGTACCTCTGCTTCCCCGCCCCCCCCCCTGTGGGGTGGGTTGGGTGTAGTATGTATGTACCTACGTAGGTTGGTAGGTATAGGCATGCATGCATGCATGCATGCATGCATGTATGTCATGTATGTATGTATGTATGTATGTGTGTATGTATGTATGTGTGTATGTATGTTATGTATGTTATGTATGTTATGTATGTTATGTATGTTATGTATGTTATGTATGTTATGTATGTATGTTATGTATGTATGTATGTATGTATGTATGTATGTATGTATGTATGTATGTATGTATGTATGTATGTATGTATGTATGTATGTATGTATGTATGTATGTATGTATGTATGTATGTATGTATGTATGTATGTATGTATGTATGTATGTATGTATGTATGTATGTATGTATGTATGTATGTAATGTATGTATGTATGTATGTCTGTATGTCTGTATGTCTGTATGTCTGTATGTCTGTATGTCTGTATGTCTGTATGTCTGTATGTATGTATGTATGTATGTATGTATGTATGTATGTATGTATGTATGGGGATGGTTCCTGGGGGGCGGGATACCATTGGGGCGGGGTTGCCGGCCGCCAGCCGGGACCATATATATATATATACATATAATATTTACCAAGAGTAAACCAGAGTTATTATATATATATGGGACCAGAATTATGATCTGGAATCCATGATAGGGATTATCACAATCCATATATGTAAATGTTGACACTTATGCATTCCCTCTGGCAATCTAACAAAAACCTACAATGTGGGGCCCCCTAGATTCTAGATAGCTAAGTTGGTGAACATAACTCCAATAACTATGGTTTATGATACTTATAACAATAGTTTTCATGGGGTTTATAAACCAACGTTCACATCACTGGGGGGCCCCACATTGTAGGGAACAGCTCCATTCTCGGATGGTTCCCATGGAATATTCCATGAAATTTTCCCATGATTACCCGTGAATATCCCGCTATTATCTGGTTGGTGGTTTCAACCATTTTCTATTTTCCATAATATATGGGATAATCACGGATAATCCTTCCAATTGACTTTCATATTTTTCTATATTGTTAAAACCACCAACCAGTTATCCATTGAAATCCCATGATTATCATCCATTATTACGACCATTAGTCGATAATTTGTTTTCTCTCCTGGCCATGCCCAAAGGAAACCCTGAGGATATGATTGATAGTTTCATGCGCAACGGAAAAATCCTCATGTTCAATAGGAACATTCCATGTTACCCCCTGGTAGTCAAACGTCAAACGTGGCTGGCTGGACATGTTCAAGGAAGCCAATGGTGTTTGTTACCGAATTTCTGGAGCCAGTTCCAAGCTTTTGGCATTGTTGTAACACCCCAGGCTATTTCCCATACAGAATGGGTGGCCTTAAGGCCACTACAAAATGGGTTTTTATAGGTCATTTTTATAGGTCATTTTATTGTTGTATGATGCTGTTTTCCAGCAGTTCCGAAGTCTGATGTCTGGACTGCCAATTCAGCAAAGTTGGAACAAGGCAACACCCTAAGCAACACAGATATTGTTTTGGTGAGATAATAGGAAAATCATATAAAATCATCTATAAATGACGGATAAAACTTTAAAACATTCCAGTAACTAATCTTTCGGGTTTCTTTTCTTTTTAAATGTGCATCAAACCCAGCATTTAGTTTATTTTCCCTCAAGAATGATGGGGGGACGAGCCTCCAAAGTGGTGCCCCATGGCTATATCGGTTTCCAACTAGTTTAAGGAGGATTGGTATAACGAACATGAACGAACTATGTAATAAACTAATCAATGGGACTTTAAGAATAACTATGTAATGGGACTTTTTATGTTAAAAACAAATAAACAATTAAACAAAAAAACTGCTGGTGGGAAGGGCACCATCTTGGACTTGTTCTTCGTAACTATGAGTCTTCAAGACTCGATCCCGCTTGATGATTCAGTGATTTTGTTTTATTGTTATTTATCATACCCTAGACATGGTATCATCATCATCAACATCATCATCATCATCATCAGCAGCAGCAGCATGATCATCATCATCATCATCATCATCATCAGGCGAGCTCCCCTGATTTCTATGGTTTAAATCCAAATGTCCCGTAGTGGAGCGTGTAGCCATCATCAGGCTTTGAAACCACTAACCAATGATTCATCTGATATTCCCCAAAGAATTCGCTGAATCACCAATAAAAATGGACCATGTATGGATCATTATATGGAGGTTTCCTAACATGGGGATACCTCCAAATCATCCAAGTCATGAATGACCAAGTACTAAAACCTGTTGTGAATTGGGAGATCTCCAGGATCCAACAGATGGAGGTACGTAAACGTACCATATGTTTGGCCATATGAATTGTGGGGATATTCCCTGAAATTTAGGCCTTATATAGGCCTTGTATATGGTAGGTACCTCCAATTTAGGATCCTGGAATGGCCATTGATTATTGGGAATTGGGGATTCCCGAAAGAGACTCCCATAGATCCCCATGATTGTTTCTTCCTTGCCCCGCCAGGCTTTCCCGAAAATCTCTCAGAGGACCTACGATTGATCGTGGAAGAAGAGCAAAAAACCATGGAGAACGAGCCTGAGGCGAGGAAACACACATGAATGATGATGGAATATTGGGATTTTATAGGGGTATTTCCTTGGATTTTCATGGGAACATGATGGAATAATACTAGAGTTTTTCAGAGGCCCTATAAGGGCTCCTATTCACTTCAGCTATTCTCCAAAGATCTCGTGCAGTTCCGGTGAACTCGGTGACTTTCTTAGGCGCCCCTTATCCCAGCTGATTGGCGGTTCTGTCATGGGGAATGGTTCTGTAATCAATACCCTCTGGTAAACATACAAAATACTATGGAAAATCCACCATTTTTCTAGCTGGGAAAATCCACTATAAATGGCAATTTTCAATAGCTATGTTAGTTTACCAGAGGGTAGTTGAACTATTGACTATTGAAACCTGGTTGGTGGTTTGGAACCATGGAATTTTATGAGTTTCCATTCAGTTGGGAACAAAAATCCCATTTGACCAACTCATATTTTTCAGAGGGGTTCAAACCACCAACCAGACTTGAACATCAATTCGATGTTGGTATTTAGTTTTGGTTCTTGCGATGTTTTTGCGATAACACATGATGCCGATGAGAATATACAATATTTTGTCACAATGAACTCTGAGTGTGGATTTGTAGACGATGTTTATAATGATAATTCATCAATTGTCCATGATTAAGTGGATTATCACATAGACCGAAGCAGACAAATGACGCAGGAAATGCCATGTCTCGTGCGGACGAAAGAAGATCGTCTTGGCTGGCGCAGTGAAGAAAGAGCAGATCTGCACAGCTGGGAAAGCCAAGTGACTTTTGAACGAGCAGCCGACACAAACAGTTATGGCCATTTATTAGTTATAAGTACTTATAACCCATTTATAGAATGTATAATCCCATTTATAACGAGTTATAACTGGTAAATGGCCATAACTGAAGGCAAAGTCGATCTCTGCTGGTGCAACCGGATTCGCTGAAAAGCGTTTTTGGATCCTCTGCAGCTGGTGTTTTTATACTGAAGCATTGGGCAAGTCTTGCCTAAGTCTGAGAGGTTGAGGGAAGTTGGGTCTTGGGATTGAAAGACCCATCATTCGGAATGTGGCACACCTCAGAGAGAGTTTGCTTCTTGGGCTTCTCCACCCCACGCAGGATATGAAGGTGACTGTGCCGAGTCTGGCGGATTTTCCATGGCTTTGGATCCAGGATCTCGGGATGATTTGTTGGGGGCTGAATATGCAGGATGGGCCCCCCGTTTTCGATAGCGTTCAGTTGAGATATAAGTGGCGAAAAAACTATGGTTTATTTATGGTAGATATAACGAACTAGTTCATGGGGGTGATAATGATTTATAATCAACAAGCATAACTTGGGGGCCGCATCCTGTAGGGATGTTGGTATATCATCCCAACTACCGAGGGATTTCTGTAATCAAACATGGCAGGAAAATGCCTGAACTAAATGAAGGTTCGACGGGAAAATGTCCAACTCTTTGGGGATAACTTGGGACACCGAACTTATCCACCTGTGGCTGTGTCATAGATTTTGTCAATGGGAATTCCAGGATCCTAAAATGGAGGTACTGTACCATATAAGGCCATATTTTGTGGTGATATTCCCTTACATAGGCCTTACTTAGGCATTCTATATGGTAGGTACCTCCAATTTAGGTTCCTGAAATGGCCATCGATTCTTGTGGCTTAAATCACCACTGAGTCTAGTTGTGCCACTTTTTTGTTATATGCGGGTGGGATCCCACTGCATGTTCGTTCAATCAATTACGCTGATCAATATATATATAATATTTATATATATATATATAATATTTATATATATATGTGTTAAACGTACATTTGCGTGATAAATCCCAATCCCTTCGATTTTTTGTTGGTTCATGTTGGTTTTCATACACCTAGACGTCCATGGGACCGGTCCTGACAAGTTCATCGGTGGATTGTTGTATATAGGGTGGTGAATGATTTCTTTTTTCATATTTTATTGGTGATGTAAAGGGATTTAGTGGTGAGTATATGTGATATACTGGAATCATCCCCAAATGGCCCAACATTTCAGGTTAGTGAATTATTATCATTTACCCAGATATTTTATTGATGATAAATGTGTGCATATTCCATAATTTGATATGTATAATATTGTATAATATGTTTGTTTATCCCACCATGATCCAATTGTGTACTTAATGATTGCATAGCATATATATATATATGTATATATATGTATACACACCATTACTATTATCCCATTAAACGACATTAAACCACTAAATCCACATGTTTTTTTTACTCCGGGCATGTTTAGATCTGTCCGGAGCTTGGCTGTAGGAACCCGAGCTGCCAGCAGAGGACGGCAGCGCTGCTGATATTTTCTTGTGGTTGATATAGCCAAATGATCTCTACAATGTGGGGCCTCCAAACGATAGCTAAGTTGGTTTATAATTCCAATAACTATGGTTTATGATACTTATAACAATAGTTAATTGGGTTTATAAAGCAACTTATAACTGGGGGGCCTCACATGGTATAATAACCATATAATGATCAATCACAATCACTTGGCCAGATTATTCCTGGTTTTTCGTGATTAATATCAATATAGCCAATTTGTATTTCGAATCCAGATTTGTGAGTTCTCCCATCTATATATGGATTCTAACTATCGTAATTAGCCAAATTCATGGTTAATATTTGGGTATTCATTTCAAAATAGTTATATAATCAGATATTAACCAAATTTTATCATTGTGGCTATTCATGGACTTTACTATCTCTTTACATGATTTGTGAACCATCCACAACTATGACTGGCCTTGGGTACCTTGGGGTGAATTAACATAGATGTGGAAAACCAATGGTCTACTGATTGGTTTGGAACATGTTTTCTATATATTGGGAATTTCATCATCCCAACTGACTTTCATATTTTTCAGAGGGGTAGGTATACCACCAACCAGTCTACTGTTCGGAAATAATCCCAGTTTCCTAGGTCAAATGGATACTTTACTCCTTTAGTCTTTTGGTATCAATGGGAATATCTACGTTCACCAGCAAAGAATTTAGATTTTTTTGCAGGGTATCTAAGATTGAGCAATGTTTCTAACCGGACGTATTGATATGATCATGATTTCTAGCCAGAGGATCATCACGTTGAGCAATGAAATCACCATAGTTGGAATCAATTTTTTCGATGGGATTAGCTATAAACCAGCTTTTAACTATAGATTTAATAGATGGGATTAGCAATAAATCGGATTTATAGACTATAAGCAGCTACTAGCCATAGGATTTATAGGATTTATAGATGGGATTAGCGAAAAAAATCGGAGACTTGCTGACCAGGGTGAAAAAAAAACAACGTATACTTTTTGGGGGATGATCCTCAAAGCAAAGCTTGAATGGCTAGTTTGGTGTTTGGATTTCTGGTGTAGTTACCCTCTGGTAAACGTTAACAAAAAACTATGGAAAGATCCACCATGTTTAATGGGAAATGTCACTATTTCAGTCACCATTTTCAATAGCTATGTTAAATTACCAGAGGGTAAATAGAGATGCTATCATCTACTATCCTAACCAGCTAACGTAAAGCTTTGGTTTTTTCAACATTATTATCTACAATGTGAGGCCCCCGTTCGATAGCTAAGTTGGTGAACATAACTCCAATAACTATGGTTTATGGTACTCACGTTGTATGATTGGCAAATCTTTTAGGTGTCTTCGGGTTCCAACCACACAGGTTGGCAGGTCTCAGCTGGACTGGATGGACCGCCAGTGGCCTCCTGCAGAGCACAGAGGTCAGCACGTTGGACAGGGCGAATGAGAGCTGGACCAGATTTGGATGGTCTTCCTTTAAATTTGGACGCTTGATCGCCAACGGCAAGGCTTTCATAGCCGCCCTGATGGAGCTGAAGGAGTTGGAGAGCTTGGCAAACGCCACTAGATGGCACCCCTTCCTGGGTCAACTGGTGAAAAACCCTCTTCCCACCTCGCCACCATTCCCCTGAAAAACACTCCTCGGCCTTCGGAGCCCATGAGGACACGAGAAAGCACATGGATCAACAACGAAGAGATCAGGTCCCCAAAATTGTTTTGCATGGATGATTCAGGACTGGCTGGTGGTTTCAAACATATTTTTTGTTTAAATTTTCCATCATATATGGGATGTCATCCTTCCCATTGACTTTCATATTTTTGAAGATGGTTAAAACCACCAACCAGTTCAGCAAAGCCAATGAATTGTCTGCTCCCTCCCCCTGGCAATTCCTGGGATCACCTGGGCTGGTTCTCTGCAATGCCATTGCCACCCACCCAGCGATTGCAGAAGGCCCCATTGCTACACCGAAAACAAGCAGTCGTTACATCCACTAGCGGACGACATTCTAAACTAGACCCTGTTTGTTAATGGTGTTTATCTATGTTTATCTTTTTAAATTATATCCATGTGGGCGCTTAACTACGTTGATTTTGGTGATTAAATTCCCAAACCACAATCTTCTATAATTACGCAATATGTCCCATGTTTGGAGGAAAATAGTCTTCCAACCCCCACAAATTCATGAGTTTGTTAGCTCCGTTGGTAAAGATGAATCATATTTACTCCGATAAGTAGGGTTTGTGGTAGATAGATCGAACTAGCTACTGGTTTTAATCAACAAACTCACAACTGGGGAGCACGGTTTGTCAGTCTGTGTTAGCTGGAGTGATGGTAAGTCCATTGAGCAGTGTTCAAAACGCCCTGTTGATGATTTGTTCTGGTATTATACTACCCCAATATTATGGGGTGTCACAATCCAATATCTATTAACCAACGCATACCACGCATAAAAATCCACCACAGAGGGTTTTGACACTGTTCAACTATTTACTTGTTGGGTTCCAAACATTGTTTCTAATCCATCCTATTCTGAATGATGCTTCTGGTTTGTTATTGGCTTTGCTCCTTTGAGGGGCCCATTGGGTGGTTTTTAATGTGGTTATAATTTCTTCACAAACCTACAATGTGGGGCCCCCTAGTTATAAATTGCTTTATAAACCTCGTTATAGTTATATATAAGTATCATAAACCATAGTTATTGGAATTATAAACCAACTTAGCTATCGTCTGGGGGCCCCGAGCCTTGTATTCATTGGACCAACGTTGAGAATAACTAACTCAACTTATCGTTTTCGCGCAGGAAGCATCAACTGCAAGGAGATCCAGTCGGCAGGGTTTCCCAGGATACGGCCCAAATTTGAGATCCAATATCCTCTGGTAATGTCAAAATAACTAATTATTGAAAATGGCCATAGAAATAGTTGATTTACCCACAAACAAATGCTGATTTTCAAGAGCTATGTTAGTTTACTAGAGGGTATGATGCATAACAGGTTGGTTGTGATGTGTGCGATATTTTTTCCAATTTATGATGCGAGAGTTCGGGAGTGTAATTCACAATTCGAATCGATAGGTCACATATACAAGGTGGTGCCCCCAAGATAGCTAAGTTGGTTTATAACTCCAATAACTATGGTTTATAGGTGATATATCTATAGTTAATGGGCTTATAAACCAACTTATAACTGGGGGGCACCACCTTGTATTATATACTTTCATTTTTTTTGGCTCCGTGGAACCACCTTCTTTCAAGAATATGCAGCCACCTTGCATGGTATTCGCTGATCTGAAAAATACAGTTAAAGGCCTTCACAGTGAAACACATATCACTCCTGCAACTAAGGTTATATATCACTTTAATGGGGTTACAAGCCAGTTACAACTCTTAAGGGCCATAACTGTATGTCCTTGGAACAAGATTTGGGGAACCGCATGGATTTGATAGGCCATCGACATGGAAGAAAAACTTCAGGAACAGTCGGAAACCTGAAAAATACCCCCTGGTAAACTAACTATTGAAAATGGCAATTTGGTTCGTTGATTTACCCATTAAAAATGGTGATTTTCCATAGTTTTTTGAATGTTTACCAGAGGGTATCTGGAAAAACGTCATCTAAGTACCATACTGGAAATGCTTCTCTTTTTTTGGGGTCGCAATGAGAGATGGCCAATGCGTTTAAGATCGTTTTGTTTCGGCCCAATCGATGGACTTGGTCGACAAAAAAACTGCCACAAGAAAAACATGGTACATTTTAAGAAACTTGGTTACAAGGTTGTGCCCCAGTTCGTTAGCTAAGTTGGTTTACAATTCCCATTTCACTATGGTTTATGGTAGATATATCATATACTTACTATGGTTTATAACCTGCCCCCCTGGTTATAATTTGGTTTATAAACCATAGTAAGTATAGATATATCATGATATATCATGATATATCCACCATAAACCATAGTTCTTGGAGTTATAAACCAACTTAGCTAACGAACTGGGGCACCACCTTGTATGTGGTCCCTCATGTTTTCCAATCATACCAGTCATTGCGGAACGATTGCACATGACTCATATGATTGTAGCCCGTCTCTTCGCTAGAGTTGATCTCTCTCCTCTATGGAGGTCCTTTGCGAAATCCGAATCACCAGTTCAAAACGGTAGTAAACATCCCATTATTTACAGGGTTTCAACCATCCGTTAGGTGATGCAGGATTTCGCTGGCCCATCCTAGCCGTATTACCAAGCAGATTTCAACAAGTGCCCGGGTCGGTGGGTCGGATTTCATGAAACACCTTTCCACCGATAGGATTCAGTACCATACCTCCATTGGTACAGTTATGGCCATGGCTACCAGTTATAACTGGTTATTTCTATGGGATTATACATTCTATAAATGGTGTTATAAGTACTTATAACCAATAAATGGCCAAAACTGTAACAATATGTAACCATATATTTGGGTAAATGCCATGGTTCGACCGAAGCCTGTTCTCCCGAACCCTGGTTCATCAGGGTTTATTTTAGGGAAATCATACCCTTTTATGGCCCAAGAATTCAGGTTAGTGAATTATTATAATTTACCCAGAAATATGTCTCCATGAATCTGGAGATGTGCATTGAATTGAAACCTGAGATGTTTTGGACCTTGCTGCGTCTTCCGTTCAAAGACAAGCAGGACTTTACATGGGCCATTTCTGTTCAAGAAATTCCAGTTTTCAATTTCACGACCACATACATGTGGGGCTTGAAATTCCCAAAAGCGGTGCTTTACATGAACTGGTTGGTGCTTTGGAACATGTTTTTTCTCCATATATATTGGGAATGTCATCATCCCAACTGACTTTCAGATTTTTCAGAGGGGTAGGTATACCACCAACCAGTTTCTGTTGATGAAGTCACATTAAGTCCCAGGTATTTGAGTCTTGAAATCCCTGCTTTTTGGCTCCAAGTCCCTTTTTCTGATCGACGACTTGACGGGTCGCAAACACGAACACGAATGTGTTATTAAGGATTTCAGGCAACCCACAAATTGGCACGTATTGGACCCAAAATAAGTGCTCTACTGGATTCTACAAGACCACACCATTGTTGGATCAATAGTTTTAAGAACGATTTGGCCTATACTATTTTTGTTCACAAAAAAAGGACGTTTTTTGTGAGTGATGTGTCAAGACCAGGCAACGGCAACAAATCCCGACGAAGCCTGAAGTCCATCCTGACCAAAGCGAGATTTCTCGCTCAGCAACAACTTGGGTAGAGCCATGGTGATGATGTTTACCATCTGGTTATTTCACAGCCATGGAAAATCACAATGTTTAATAGGTAAACAGTCTACAAATAATAAATAATAAATGGGCAATTTTCCATGGCTATGTTAGTCATAACCAGATGGTAATCACAAAAACACAAGATCCGAATTCTCATCAATTCACATCCGATGGTCTCCAAAAACATGACTTCAAAACAAAAAAAAGAGTTGATAACTTGGTACATTTGGTACTTCCACCATCTACAATGTGGGGCCCCCAAGAAAGCTAAGTTGGTGCAAAGAACTACAACCACTAGGGTTTATGGCTGTTATAACTATAGTTAGATGGGCTTATAAACCAACAAAGATAACGTGTTTACGGGGCCCCCACGTTGAGTCAATCAGGATCAACCAGGCAACGTGGCTCGCCTTTCCCCGACGTTTCGGGACATCGGACTTCGCGCGTTGAGCCAAGCGACGCGGCACGATGGAAACGCCACTGGTCGCGCCCAAATTGGATCGAACGATCTCATGGCAACAGAACTTGGTGCCTTGGAAAAAAATGTGGCTTAAACCAACAGCAATAGTAACATGCAATGACATGCAATGTAACAATAGTAAGAATAATTAGTATATTATTTATTATAATATATATTATTGATTAGCTGTTTCTTGGTGCTTTAAGAGTCTAAGTCAGAATATGGTTACAGTAGAAATAAGAAACGTTGGTTTATGGATTATCATCGAACATAAAATAGTCAAATTATGTCAAATGACAATGTTGATATTCAAGAGTTTGTCAATTTATTTATTGACAACTGATAATCTTTATGATTATAGTAACACCCCAAAACAAATCAGACACGTTGATTAGTTTAGTCGATATGGTCTCAACTTATATTCAACATATACGGTCTCAATCAATACTTGGCCCATTTGCCGTTGGAGGACACTCATCACTCCATAGAGATTCTACAGCTCACCCATTCCGACGTTGGCATTATAGGATTGACAACCATACCCCATGTACAATGTTTTGATCGTGGCTATATATATATATATGATATTTGTACATATGTACATATATATATATTACATACATATATATATATATACATGTATATACATATCATTATATATGGTCTAGATCAATATGAATAGATCCATACTCAAATGAAATTGTGCTGAAGGATGTCTGAAAACAGCTTGGTTAAAATTTGGTGTGGTAGGCGGTAGGTCGGGGGATTACATGTCAACCCTAAATGTTGGAAACCAAACACGATATGTCCTGCTGAGTTGCCTTTTTTGAAAGTAAGTAAAGGTTAGTCATGTAAACATGACCTTTCAATGGGAAATCCAGGATCCTAAAACGGAGGTACGTTAGTACCATATGTTTGGCCATATTTTGTGGGGATATTCCCTCACATAGGCCTTACATAGGCCTTATATATGGTAGGTACCTCCAATTTAGGTTCCTGAAATGTAAACATGACCTTTGTATACCCGTGTGCCACAAAATGCTTCCTTCGTGCAAAATTAATGTTGTTTTATGTTGTATAGGTCCCTACCGCAATTGGGATTGCAATCACGGTCCCCAAAAAAAACACGTGGTCATTGTCGGAAGGTAAGACATCCCTGAAGATGTTTGATGAATGACTGCCATTGGACCATTGGATTAAGAATTTGTACCTTTTAAATCCTTTTAAGCCACTGGGCAATAGCTATTGGATCTACTATTATTTATTGCTATTGGATTAAAAATAGTCCCTGATTATTACTATTGGTAAGGAAGTAGCTTTTACCTTGTACTCAGGTCGTTTTTGACAACAGTCCCTTGAAATTCCTATTGGATTACCATTCATTAGACCACTGCTTCACCGATCGGAAGCGCTTCACTCGTGGTATAGAGTTGGATTGCCATGATGTTCATGGAGAGATTTTCGTGATACATTGTTGTAGCTCCAACTATTACCCATATGCGAACCACGGTGCTGGTATATTTACCTACAAAACTGGGTGATTTTGTTCGGGCAAATGTTGGTAAATATTCCAGCACCATGGAGCATATGGGTTATTGTAATGTTTATTAATTAATTCGTTGATTGTTATTCATGGCCCCAATATTAGTAGAATTTGATAATGAATATTAATGAATATTATCTTTGAATCACTATTCATATTCTATTAAATGATGTATTCTTCTACAATTCATACAATGCAGGGCCTCTAGTTCATATTTGGTTTATAACCCCATTAACTATAGTTATTTGCATATCATAAACCATAGTTTTTACAGTTTTGGCCATTTATTAGTTATAAGTACTTATAACCCCATTTATAGAATGTATAATCCCATCTATAACCAGTTATAACTGGTAAATGGCCATAACTGTATAGTTATTTGCACCTTAACTTAGCGATTTCGTGGCCACGGGCGCCAGCCTTGTATACGGAGTTTCGTCGATGAAAACGGCTGGGATTTCATATAAGCAGTCCTGGCTGGTTGGTGGTGACTCGAACCATGGAATTTTGAATGACTTTCCAGAAACAGTTGGGAATCTGGTTAATAGTGGTTAATAGTGGTTAACAGTGGTTAATATGAAATTTATGACTTTCCATTCAGTTGGGAATCATACTCCCAACTGACGAACTCACTAACTCCATCATTTTTCAGAGGGGTAGTTATACCACCAACCAGATATATATAGTTGATTTATGTTGATTTACCCATTAAAAATTGTGATTTTCCATAGTTTTCCCATTATAAATGGTGATTTTCCATAGTCAACCGTCGCTTAAGTGGGGAAAAACGGTAGTCCTGGGATGCCGGTGACATCCGTTGACCGAGTATGACCAAGTCGTCGACTCCAGGTCGATGAGATGACCAAGACCCGGGAATTGCCCACCGCCGAGGCACACCTGAAAGGCTGAGTCCCTGAACGAAACATTGCTGACATATAGATATATATTTATATAGATAATAAAATATAGATAAACTATGTGAGTACATATGTATATTATATATATATGGGATCTATTTTGTTTTGGGTTTCTTATAGGTTTCTTGGGAGTATTCATAATATGTCTTCACATATTCGAACTTTAGGGGAATCATAGTTATCTAGGGGGATCATAGCTATGTAATCATACATGTGAATAACCCATACTATCCTTAAGGGCTTCTACAATTTCTATACTTGCCATATTTTTCCTGGCACTGGGTGAAGCCCATGTTACCTTTCTTGCTTTAGAAACCATGAAAACCATTATCACTATATACTAGTTCGATCAACCATAAGCCATAGAATTCTCCATCACATATCACCACCTTTACCCTCTGGTAAACCTACAAAAAACTATGGAAAGATCCAACATTTTCAATGGGTAAATCCACAAACTCAATCACCATTTTCAATAGCAATTCTATTTTGACATAACCAGAGGCTACATGGCATCTCCTTCCCACCCCACCCGGTGGTCACCCCATCCCGTCAACGGCCGCCTTCACCGTGGTCCCGTAGCGAGGACGGCGAGTTGCCGCGTCGCCTCACCGCGCTGGAGCTGACGCTGCTGGGCATCGGCGCCTGCATCGGCGCCGGGATCTTCGTCCTGACGGGCGCCGAAGCGCGCATCGCTGGGCCCTCGGCACCTCGCTTTGCCACGGGGAAAACCACGGGGGGAGGACCGAACGGATGGGAAAAAGTGAAGATCCATGGGGTTTGATGGCAAATGGGGCGGAAATTGGTGGAAAATTGGAGTTTTCTTAAATGGATTTCTGCTTGGTGGTTTGGAACATGAATTTGATGTTTCCATATATTTGGAATAGTCATCCCAACTGACTAATGTTTTTCAGAGGGGTTGAAACCACCAACCAGATAAATATAAGGGAAATTGGATGCAAAATGGATTACAGTAAACATGATTTAAAGATTGGGAACGCATGGTGAAAATATTATTGATAAATATTCTATATTAGCAATTGATGAATCATGAGGAAACCACGAGAAAAATGGAAACATTGGATGAAATTGGATTTGACTGGGTTAAATAAACATGGAAAAACGCGCAAAGTTGGGTTAGAATTGGATAATTTGTGATTTTTCAGAGTGGTTGGAGATCAAGATAATGGAAAACTGTTTCATAGTCTGGTTTTGCCTAGAAATTGGCATAATTGGCATAATCCAACATTCTGAGAATCATTTTTTGGACAAAAAAAACGGCCAAAAAATTCTCCCATCAGCTGATGGGAGACACCATTTTCCTTCCATGGTTTCATGGTTCAGCCACCATGGTTCCTATAGCTGTGTAAATTATAACGACCTCACTGCGACCTCACTGGAATCATGGTTTATTTTAGGGAAACCATCCCCAAATGGCCCAACAATTCAGGTTAGTGAAATATTATAATTTACTTAGATATATATATATATATATATCTGGTTAGTGGTGACTGGAATATGAATTTTATGACTTTCCATAGTATATGGGATGTCATCCATCCCATTGACTTTCAGATTTTTCAGAGAGGTTGAAACCACCAACCAGGTTAATATTCCCATCAAATCCCATGAAGTCCCATTAAATCCCATTAAGCCCCAGTTATTCAACCCATTTAACATCCTTAAATCCCATATAATTTTCCAGCTATTTATTGGTTGACGCAAGAATTGTCCATCAATTAATCCGAAGTCATCCAAAGCCGCTGGCCGTGTCCAAACTTAGATTTCTGTTTGTTATGAACTACATTTTAAATCATGTTAACATATGTTTACCCACATTGAATGTTTATATGATTCCATATTCCATTTGGAATTTGATGATGAAACTATAGTTAAATTCCTCATTTTGCGCCACAATTCATGATTAAACCAACAATTTTCCGTCATTTTCCATCACTAAGTGCTATAAAATGGTTATAAACCCCATTAACTCTAGAAATATCTACTATAAATCCACTTGTTCAACACATCTCGCTAATATAACCATTCTATCCCCATACTATGAACAATGCACCATATGTATCTGGTTGGTGGTTTGGATCATTTTGTATTTTCCATATATTGGGAATGTCATCATCCCAACTTACTCATATTTTTCAGAGGGGTTGAAACCCCCAACCAGATTGTTGTAAAATGTTATAGTAGTTATGCCTAATAATTATGAATTATTATTGTTATAATTATGACAATTATGAGTATGATGTTGATGAATATGAATCAGCTATCCATTTGTGGTTTCTGAAATCAGATTATCATAGAATTGGATGATGGGACAATTTTAACCGGAAAGCCCGTCATATTTGATGGTAAAAACCCATGGGTTTCCGGTGAAGATTTTCCCTTAATCCAATCCAGTGAGATTAGGTGGCCGTGTCCTTTCTGCTGGCGGGGATGTCCTCGATCTTCAACGGCCTCTGCTTTGCAGAGCTGGCCACGCGGCTGCCGGTCTCCGGCTCCAGCTATCTCTATGCGCCTCGGCGGCTTTTTGGGGCAGCTTAGAGGCCATCATTTTACTGCCATATATATGATGGGTAATGATGGTCAATGGTGGTTAATAATGGCTACTACTGGTTAAAACCACCAACCATATATGTTCTATATATGTCTGGGTAAATTATAACAACCGAACCCTGTTCTCCCTCACTGGAAATCATGGTTAGTAAGGGAAATCATCCCCAAATGGCCCAAGAATTCAGGTTAGTGAAATATTATAATTTACCCACACTAGTGGAATTATAGCAAAAATATCTGGTTGGTGGTTGGTGCTGACTGGAACATTTGGATGACTTTTCCCATCATATTGGGAATGTCATCATCCCAACTGGCGTTCACTCCGTCATTTTTCAAGATGGTGAAATTGCACCACCAAGCAGATCTTGTGGCTTTAGATGTGGTTTTAGTAGGAAAATCCAGCGTGGTTTTAGTGGGATTTCAGCCGCATAGTTCAAGCGCACAGTTCAAACATGAAAAATGTTTAGCAATGAACCATGGAAGATTGTGGTTTAATCACCCAGAATGGTTATGGTATGCCACTGCTCCACAAAAAAAACAAAACAACGAGTTCTGGTTAGTGGTTTCAAACATTTCTAGAATCTATAATTCCATGGAAATAACATGACATAACCAGTTATATATAACTAATCTATACTAATCTGATTGGTGGTTTCAAACATTTTTTATTGTCCATAATATATGGGATGTCATCCTTCCTATTGACTTTCATATGTTTCAAGATGGTTAGAAGCACCAACCAGAGTTTGACTAATAGTTTGCCTAAAAAGGAAGTTTTAGCAACACAACTGGAAATTTGTCAGTCTCGATATCATCATATGTCATCATATGTCATCATATGTCATCATATGTCATCATATATCATCATATATCATCATATTCTCAAAGATGAGGCTGATTACTAACCCAATAGTAGTTGGAGATGCTCTAAGTTTCAGTTTATCGACTTTTTACCTCCTTGAATTCCAATTTACCGAACGATCTTTATATGTATGGATTATTTACACATCTTTGAGAACCTCGAATTGGTATCTTACTTACACATCTTAGAGAAAAAAAGACACAACGCAATGGGTCTGTTCTTTTCAAGTTTAATAAAGTTTAATCCTGCTGGGAGCTCATGAATTTCTATCCATTTTACCCAGGAATGTGACTCCTGCAATGCCCTGGTCACTCGGTAGACCCCGACCCTAAACAGATGATGATTTTGGTGTATTTCAGGCCCCAAAACATCCCCAAACCCCTATGATTGATCATGAGTTGTTTGCCAATTGCCACAACTTGGGGTATAGAGTATACATAGTTTTTAGATAAAACGATTTCAAGGCCTGGGTTTGTTGGGTTGTTTAAGGTGATGAATTTTCCCAACTGAGTCCTCTATTGGGAATATGTTCTATTCTTTGCGGGGACTCCAAAAACGCAAATCCTTGCGTAGGTCAACTTGGAGATCAGGTCTATGTCTTGGATCAGATCTCACATCTGTTCTCCATAGACGGTCTACTTTTTGTGGGGCTCCCGTTTACGTTATGTTTGTTGGTTTATCAGCCCATCATAGTTATAACAACCATAAACCCTAGTGGTTGTAGTTATTTGCACCAACTTAGCTATCTTGGGGGCCCCATCCTGCAACTGGCTATATCCCAATTATAAATTATAAATATGTCCTATATTTCTCTGATATCCCAGCTAGATGTTTGTGGTTATGTTTGATGGTTATATACAACCACTAGGGTTAAACATTATAACCACATTTTTATAACCCACCTTAGTAGTTACAAACAACTTAGCTGGGTAAATTATAACGACCTCACTGTTCTCCCTCACTGGAATCATGGTTAATAAGAGGAATCATCCCAAAATGACCCAACATTTCAGACTAGTTAATCATTATTATTTCCTATGGATCCAAACACCTCCTGAGAAGGTACTTAACCCACCAAATCATGTCCCAAACACTTCCTAAGAAGGTACGGCTGGATCCATACAGTTATGGCCATGGCTATCAGTTATAACTGGTTATTTCTATGGGATAAAAAACATTCTATTTCTATGGGGTTATATATAAGTACTTATAACTAATAGCCATGGCCACAACTGTAGGGTTTATTTACCCAGACTTAGTTATCTTTGATGTTCGAGACGCATCTGCTGATCAAAGGTCTACTGTATGTTCGGCGAGCTTCCAGCTCTGATGTTGGTGCCTCGGTTTGGGGAAAAAAAAGTGGGTGACTTTCATGGGAATCAACTGTGGAGTTCCTTATGAATGGTATTGAATGGTGCTTTAAATGCTATTTTTCATGGTGTTTTAATGGGATTTCATGTGAATCAATGGCGATTTCATGGTGACCAATAATGGTGATTTAATGGGATTATGATGGAACATCCAAAAATACAGAGATTTCCGAAGTCATAGGGCTACCTCCAAATCATCAATTTCAATAGGATTGTCCATGAAATAAACCATCCAGCGATAAAGGGGTAGCCCCCCTTTATGGATACCCCTTATGATAGCCCGAGATGTAGAACACCATGACACATCATTGGGAAAATGCTTCATAGAGTTAAAAGCATATAATGAAGACTGGTTTAACAGGTAAAAACTCTTCAAACCCGGGTTTGGTCAACAGATAACAGACATGGACGACATGGGTCTGAAAATGGGAATGTGCATCTGCAATGCAGATGGCAATGCTGCAATACGGAACATGGTGATCAAGCTTTTTTGATTTTGGGCTTCCCTACAGTTATGGCCATTTGTTAGTTATAAGTACTAACATAACCCCATAGAAATAGAATGTTGTTTATCCCATAGAAATAACCAGTTATAACTGGTAGCCATGGCCATAACTGTACAGACAATCTCATCATACCCATCATGGCCCAGTCGAGCCCTGTCGAGTCATCGTGGAATTTCCCATCGAACATGGTGGGATTTTTCATATCCCAGAGGGTTTTTACACGGTGAATCCCAAGCGTTGATCCCCTGTTTGTTTTCATAAATCATTACCCTCTGGTTATGTCAAAAATAGCTAGTGAAAATGGCTATTTATCGTGGATTGTCCCAGCTACAAAATGGTGGATCTTTCCATAGTTATGTTAAATTACCAGAGGGTAACAGTAATATTGCAGGATGGTGCCCCAGTTCGTTAGCAAAGTTGGTGAACATAAGTCCAATTTCACTATGGTTTTTGTTGGTGATTTATCTATAGTTAATGGGCTTATAACCCATTTATAACTGGGGGGGCACCACCTTGTGGTATATCATGATATTACCTATAGGTTATTATCGGGTATAACATATATTTAGTAGGATTTTAATAGCTAATATTACGGTAATATGGTTTTTTATTGACATGATAGTATTAATCATGTGCTAACCTCAATTAATCACTCATCCAGCCTGAGTAAATCCCATAATCAAGCCATGAAAACCATGGTTTGTACCATCATGGTTTTTCGCAAGACAGGCTTGATATTCTTCCTGGTGATGAATGTTTTGGGTCCTTACCAGGTATGATTCCCGCATAAAATGGTGGTTGGAGAAATTCAGTCCGAATACAATCCAGTGGCTAAGTCTTTGGGTCTTTGTTGTTCAACAACCACCCAATTTTCTTTCACCAAGAGTTGTTTAGACGTATCCATGTGTCAACACACCTTTAGTTACCCACTAGCTTTAATGCAGCTCAACGGTACCGATGTTTGGACCATTTCAGGTGAAACATCTTAAACGGCAGTAATGACCCCATGAATTTCATGATGTGCACATTGAATATTGTGCGGGTGCTCCTTTTCATCCACTGGTTTTGCAAGTTTCGGATCTGACCGTTTGGGGATAGTTGGAGTCTGTATGTTCCTCTGAATGTGGGTTTGTTCAACAGCAGGCTACCTAAAAATCCAGTGCTTTATCATCATATGTTTGCGCAAAACTGCCACTACAAAGGATACCCCGGTTTCACCATTTCCATTTTTCAATGGTTAAGTCCCTTTGTGTTGCTGGTTTATCCAGCATTTATCACCATGTGTTATGATTTTTCTACATACTGTGGATGGAAGAAATGCTGCACCAGTTGGTAACCATTGGGAACTGTAAAACACTGTAAATAATGGGATTACAATGGGATAAACCATCTACTAACTTGTGCAGGATTTCCTCCATCCACAGTATGTTTCCCCTATTTGTAGGTTTTGCGTCCCCGCCAGCCTCCAGCCTAGTCAGCTAGTCAGCCTGCTGATGGGAAAACATGTTGAGGTAGTCAACCAACTTGTCGATTACCACATTGGAGCTGCAACACTCTCTCGGAGTTCCTTGCTTTCAGGTGCTGGTGGCCATAGTGATTCATGTGTGTCTTCCAATATTGTTGAGGGTACCCTCTGGTAAACTAACATAGCTATGGAAAGATTCACCATTTTCAATGGGAAAATCCACTATAAATCACCATTTTCAATAGCTATGTTAGTTTACCAGAGGGTAGATTTTTAGATTCACATAAATCCATTATATAAAAGACTTCAAAAATGAAACCCTCAGCAGTGCCGAATTGAGTTGCATTGGTTGAGGTTCATTTCCTATAGTGTTCTTGTTGAAAGGTTGAAACAGCTGACAATGGAACGCCAAAAATGTGGACTTGCTGGTTGATTGAACAACCTAGGGCGCCAGGTCATTTTATATGTATATTACCCTCTGGTTATTTAACATAGCCATGGAAAATACACCCCATTTACAGATGATTTTCCAATTAAAACCTCCATTTATAGTATAGTGGATTTTTTCCATAGCTATGTTAAATAACTCGATGGTACTATCTATATCTCAAAATGTTATCCATGTAATAAACCTTTACGTAGATCTCATTGTAACCAACGAGAAATGGCCGGGAACAAGAAGTGACCGGGAAACACCACGATCCGTGCTGAAAAATTGTCGATTTATCGCGAGTGAAGACCAGTTACTCAGTTCCAAGATGGATTGTGTGTAACAACTGAGACAA